GGCTATCCATAAAGTTCATAAAAATCTGAGAATCAAAGAGAAAAACGCCACAACATAACGTTTGCAATAAGGCAGTCGAAGAAATCCTATACATACAAGAAATAAAGTATATTTTGATCCCTTGAAAAATATACTTACCAAGATAAGAAAAGTAGCACTCTCCATCTGAATTGATAACTTACACAGAATGCCATGTTGGTAAAAAAACAATTTTGGGGTAGCAACGTCCGCAATAACGTAAACGGCCGCCGCCATACCGGATAGTGAAAAAATCCTAAACGCCTCGATTTTTTCCCAAAAAACTGCCAGCCATGGTATGTCTATTCCTTTAATAAAATTTATTCGATCTCATTAAATCCAAACCATTATTACGAGGAAAAACTTTTTATTGCAAAAATTCGAGTACAATAATTACCATCGTAATTGCGATTACGCGCCTCTACAAATTGTAATCTCTACAAAAAAGTGATGCAAACAAGCTATAATCTAAAGCAGAAAAACAACTAAATATCCAAGCAGGTATTATAGCAAATATACGTTAATGACCATTTAATTGCGGCCTGTCCCTAGTAAATTATTGATTTGCATTAATTTACAAATTAACTTTAGTCATTGACGGCAACAACGTTGACTCAGTGAGCGTGCACATCATTCATCTATCAGTAAAAGTATACGTATGTGCCTATCATTTCATCTGGTAGTATAGTTGAGCAATAATTGATCCTCAACCATTAAAGACATTAGAAAAAATGGGCGCGGTTAGCTTAAGAAGACATCAATCGATTTACATGTTACACATCGATAATTATCATGTGCGCAACTTAACTCTCGCATGAATTGTGCATCAAATTAGGTACTGATTAGAGGGTGAAGGAACTTGGACAGGAGGTGCTTGCTTTAAAAATCATCAAGGTACACTTTGATACAAAATAATGAGAATTCTAGATAAGTGCACCAAGTTTCTGTTCGACTCATTCAAAACTTTTGTCGTTATTCCATTTCTTCCATTACTCTTCGTAACTTTAAGTTGTTCAACGCTAGAAAACCGTTTTGTCAATAAAAAAAATAAATCCATTTAGCTACTGCATCATAAAATACGCAAATTTTATGATCTCAAGTTGATGGTGCCGCTTACTACGCATAAGAAGCCATTTGAGGCAAATTAAAAGAAACGTTGACCCCAGGAATAAACTTTATCGTAGTTTTAAAGAGCTTAGAAAACATAATTAAAGTTGAAGATAATCAAGATGTGTTAAGAGGCTGTGGCTGGAGTTGATGTGGGCAGAAAATCTTCCAGCCTTGTCAAAATTCACACGTTTAAACCAAGCCTACAGCCAAGTATCTATCTACTTTTACTTATTTTCAAAGAAAAATTTGACAAAATATATCCAATTCTGTTCTAATTAGACATGGTATGATTTCAATAAATGAGAGAGAGAGTATCTATCAATATGCAATTTAATATGTTACATAAATGATGATTTGTAGTGATCCAAAACAGTAAAGTTTTCAATCGGGTCAAAGGTATAACCACAATCTTTATGTAAGCACAATTTCTCCAGCATAGTAAACCTCAAACACACCTTGAAACCAATAGGTAGTTAACTGGTTACTACGTTACTCGCAATTTGTACGAATATTCGGCTTTTTCAGTGGCGTTACTAGATTTTTTTTTACATTATTTATTACATATAATCTTATAGTGCTTCCCAACATATTCGGTTGGTTATGCCTAATCTGATAAAACTTAGACTTAACAGCGTTCTAGTTTTAGTCGATTCCCTAGTTGATAGGAACAACATATAATTCCTTGTAGTAATTCGTAGATATTTGTTTTGCTGGAGCGGTTACTGATATTTTAACTTTTATACACACATAATGTTTGCATGATGCATAATCACCATTGTATCTGACTTTATCTGCCTTCTGTTATTTCTTTTTCTCCATTACCTGATTGATCTGGATATTTTTCGTTCTTACACCTTACACTTCTTACTACTAGACACTGAGCCCTAGTCTAGGCACTCCCCGGAGCGGAGTATGCTTACCCTGATGTAGAGCTTAGTGGTGGATGAAATTCTAGGAATACTAAACAACCTGGGGTTGCACTGCGTTGGGTATGCCGATGACATGGTAATCATAACAAGAGGAAAGTTCGAGGGCACCCTGTGTGAACTCTTACAAACTGAGCTCGAAAGTGGAATGGTGCCGAACAGTGGGACTGGAAATAAACCCATCAAAACCACCGTGGTGCTTCACTAGGAGGAGTAAATTCACTGGAATAAAGGACATCTGAGTACACGGGACTACACTGGTGACGGTCAGATATCTCGGCATAACGCTGGACTGCAAAGTCAGATGGAGCAAACACATTGAGGGAGTTGTAACTAAGACTACAAGGGCTCTCATGGTGTACCAAAACCTTGCAGGAAAAACCTGGGAATGCAAACCAGGGATCTTGAGATGGACTTACACCATGATAGTAAGACCAACCCTACTATATAGATCGATAAGTCTGGTTCAAAGAAGTTGAGAAGCAGAACATAAAAGCAGCTCTCAACAAACTATAGCGCCTGGCGTGCACATGGATCACAAGCGCAATGGAAACTTGTCCAACAGCAGCCATCGAGACAACTGTAGGTCTCGCAACTTTTCACTTCGTGGTGGAGGGGGCCGCTAGATGAGCAATGAGTAGAATCACGAGAGAGGGTGCTGGCGAGGGAGTTTGGCTTGGAAGGAGAGAATTGGCATATCTACGCGAGCCCGTTCCGCTCCGCGAGCTTCTCAGGGATGAAATCAAAACATATAATTTCAAGAAACGATTCACAGTAGTCATAGGAAGCAAAGAAGAATGGAAAGGAAACATCACATCCATTCTTACAATTCAGCGAAAAGCCGTAAAATGGTATACTGAGGGTTCAAGAACTGAACAATGGACCGGAGCCGGAGTTCTTGGGCCTGGAATGAAGTTTTCCGAAGCAATAGTAGAATACCCAGACATATTTCAGGCGGATCTTGACAGAAACTACAAAAAGATAGCGATATGGGCTTATTTTCAGATAGTCAAGCAGCCATCGAAGCGTTGAGCTCACCAATTATTAACTCCAGAATGGTTTGGGAATGCCTGGACAAGTTAAACAAACTGGGCAAAAATAACAAACTATCCTTCCAGTGGATAGCGGGACACCCAGGGATCGCAGGTAATGAGAAGGCGTACCAATTGGCGAAATTGGGCGCACAAACTCCGCTTTCAGGACCAGAGCATTTCTGTGGCATAGAGACGCACACCTATAAGAAAGCGTTCAGAAAGGAAGAGCGGACCAGATGGATCAGCCTCTGGCAATGAAAAATGATTCTTGGGCCCCCTCACCAAGCGAGATCAAAATACCTCATATCACGGAGTAAAAACAATCTCACTGGATTCCTTACAGGCCACTGCCAGGTAAGAGGGCACCTTAAGAGAATTGAAATCGAAAACGAAGTAAGCTGCTGGTTCTGTGAGATAGGGAAGGAAACTCCAGAACACCTTCTCAAGGAGTGCTAGGCAATCGTGAAAAAACGAATTTCCTGTTTCGGATATTGCACCGTTAGACGGGAAGAAATTCTATTTATAGAACCATGCAGCTTACTTGCATAAAAGCTTTAAACCTGGGTGAGGTGCTTTGAGTGAGAATCCTATCAACTGAAGCACTTAGAAAGGCGGCACAATAGATCTATGCAGGTCGCAGTGTAACAATACCCCTAATTCAAATTCATTCATTTAAGATACAAGCAATGTTTGAAATAGTTGAGAAAAAATAATATGCGGATAATACACGAATACATACCGGGTGTCCCACTGGAAACTGTCAATGGCCTATAACTTGAAAACGGTGATCAATAAAAATAAATAAAATGAAAAACCCGTTTGGAGGGTTGGAAGGGGGGGGAACCAAAACAAGGTACTTTTCAGGTCTCCTTGAATCACCCCTGCGGCCGTAGCTAATACCCTAACCTCAAAATCTTAAATGGCACTATGGGTCATATGATACCTTGTTTTAAAGGTCTTTTAATTCTCTTAATGGATCGGCAAAAAAAATTTATCCAGATTTCAATGTGACTCTCATTTCGATGAAAACCTCATTTGATCAGGTGGAACAGGTAAATGTGAATTAAAACCGATTTTATACAAATTGAATAACAGCATGAATATTTTTGAAGAAATCATCAAGATTTTATTTTTTTGAACCACTTTCCGCTCACTGTACCTGACCATTTTGTGATAATTTTAATTTGTATCTAGCTAAATTTTTTTGCAGATTCGTTTGGAGAATTAAAATACCTTTCAACCAAGGTATCACATGACCTATAATGCCATTTAAGATTTTGAGGTTAGGGTAGCTACGGTCGGAGGAGTGATTCAGGGAGACCTGAAAAGTACCTTGTTTTGGTTCCCCCGTCCAACCCTCCAAACGGGTTTTTTGTTTTTTTTTTTTTTATCGATTACCATTTTCAAGATATAGGCCATTGACAGTTTTCGGTGGGACACCCGGTACCTATATGATAATATGCTCTAACAAATGCATCAGAAGAATCAGATGTAGAGCAGATAATATACGAAAACATAACAGCAGTGAAAATGAGGTCTAGGGCAAAATTTGTAATAATAATGGGAGACTTTTATTGCAAAAATTGATCACTATGATAACAACAAAATCCTAAATGTAGACCGTTTTGTTTGCGTCAAAGAAATTCTAGAGTAAGTTAATTGATAACTTGAGTAGTGAGAACTTCTACTATCCGAATTCCTTCTTCTTAAAGAGAAGACTGACCTGAAGAAGTCCCCATTGCATTTCAAAACACAAAATACAACATCACAAACGAAAAAGTTATTGGCGGAAATGTTACTGTCGTAAGCCAATTTGACACCCACCGCGATCATCATTTGAGCAGAGCAGTAATAACACTCAATACTAGAAGGAAAAGTGCAAATTTACAAAGAAACGTCAAAAACATAATAGGGAATGAACCCAAAAGCAAGGAAGATCAGGAACAAATAGGAGCTAATGAACTAATAGAACCTATAAGAATTACCATAGAAGTAGCAACAAAAGGGGTAGGTACCTCTTACACGATAGAAGCTAAAACATCCATGAAGATTCTGAGATCTCTACTAAGTAGAGGCAGGACAAAAAATTTTGAACTCAGAAACGGAAAATCCAAACTAGTAATTACTCAAAAAGAAATCATAACATCAAAGCTTTTATATGATATGGAGCTGTATAGTCCATATACCCAAGGCTCTCGCTAGGAAGGAAGAAATCTCTGTTCGCGAGAGATGCCCGATATAGATACCGCCGAGTTACCAAAAGCACTTGGTCGAATAAAAATTACGAAAAGATGGGGCAAAGATCGGGTTACCACTGAGATGTTGGAATAGAGGAAGAATAGTTGAGAGAAAGCTTCAAAAATCTGTTAAACAAGTTCTTGGTACAGAAAAATACCTGAATATGGGAAAATGCAGAAGTCGTATAACAAAAAGGAAAAAACACACAACATAGAATAATATACTGATATAAAAAACAGATCCTACCAAGCTCCGCACCAGGCCGGATTTCGAAAGGTACGGATATATGAAAATGCTTATATGTCAGTCATGATAGACGAAAATCAGATCCCTATATGAAGAGGGAGATACGATCTCTCCGACACTGTTTATCTATACTGACTTGAGGACGTATTCTAGCGCTATTCTAATATTTAAGACCTGATTGAAACAGTACCATTTTCGCCTAAAAAGTGGATTTATCTGGGTAGAATATCAGCTGACTATACAAGCAGTGACATTCAAAAATATATGAGTGATAAATTAAATATTTCAGGGAATAATATTGTTGTCAAAGAAATTCGCAAGGAGTTTGGTGGGATTTGAAAGCACATTCTTTGATGACGTAAATATAGCTGCATCAACAGGCGTGGTCTTCTGTGAATTTGATTTTAGTCTTCCCAGAAAACCACAAAACATCCAAGGATATCCTAATAACGGGCCTGCACCATCAAAAAACGGGGAATAAACTGCTATTATCAGAATGTCAGAGGTCTAAAGACCAAATTAAGTAACCTAATATGCACTCTCTTGAGTGAATCCTATGACATAATCCTTCTAACAGAGACATTTCTTGATGAAAGTAACCTCAACTTGTGAACTTGGATTATATGATAGGTTAGTGTTCAGGTGTGACCGTTCTCAAAAATCAAGTAAGTGTAGGTCTCATGGTGGAGTAATGATTGCTGTGAATAAGGACCTAAAATGCAAAATGCTTTCTTCAAATGTGAATTGCCTTGAGGAATTATTTGTTATGGTTACTATTGAGACTAAAAACTTATTATTTGGTAATATCTATATCCCACCAAACTCACCGCTAGAATTATATGAGTGCTATTCATCATCGGTTCTACACATCCTGGATAAATACTCATGTGAAAATCTAGATTTATTCCTTTGTGAAGATTTCAATAAACCTAAGGTCTAATGGATCCAGAGTGATGATGGAACTAGACCCATTGGACTCAGTAGTGAAGAAACAAGCTGTCTTGCAGATTGTGGTTTGTCACAATTGAATCAAATACCAAATCCTTATGGAAATTTTTTGGATCTCATCTTAAGCAATAGTGAAAATGTTTTAATCACTGCCAGTCAAGCTCAAGGATAACCCCATCCAGCTCTTGAGTTTGAAATTAGTTTGGACTATGAAGTCGACTTAGCTTATAACTACGGGTAGGTATTATAACTTCAAGCAATGTGTTTACAATATTTTGCAACAGGTTTTTTCGCTGGCCGATTAGGAAAATATTTTTTTAATACAAGACATTGATAAAAAAAAAATATTCTACGAAAATCTGAATCATGCCATTAAGTTATCTACACCATTAAACAGAGACAAAAATCCAAAGTTTCCAAAATGGATATATGATCAACCTAAATATCTAATTCTGAGCAAGAAAAGAGCACATAAAGCATACAAACATTCACTTTCTTTGGAAGATTAATGTACTTTTTCTCAAATACGCCCTCAGTATCGTGAATATGCCCACGTCAGTCATCAAAGGTAGGTACTTAGATAACATAGAGGATAAGATACAGGACAGACATGGTTTTGGGGGTTACCTAAATTCAAAAAAAAAAAATGCAGAAGGGTTTCCTACTAATATGTCTTTCATGAATGAAAATGCTGACATACCACTTGGTATTGCTGAGCTCTTAAAAGGCCACTTTCCGTCTGTATATGCGGAATATGATATAACCGAATTCAGTGCCTCCTACGACTTAGCCGTAAATCTAAGTAGCATTAACATCGAGGTTATGGATGTCTTTAATAAAATTTCACAATTAAAATCTCACCTGAGTAGTGGTCCAGATAATATTCCTGTTTATGTCATCAAAAACTGACATATAATAAATCATTATCTCTTGGAGTATTTTCAAGACGCTGGTAACTAAGACATGTCACACCAATACTCGGAAGTGGAGACAGATGCATCATCGAGAATTACAGACCAGTTGCTAAAACATCAATTTTTTTAAAAGTTTTTGAGCAAGTTATTACTGATAAGATCACACCTCTATTCAAGAACATCATCATATCAGAGCAACATGGATTTGTCAGCGGAAAATCCACAGTTTCAAACCTGTTAATCTTGGAGCAAACCCTGTTTGGTGCCTTGGAGGAAGGTCATCAGGTGGATGTGATTTACACAGACTTCTCCAAGGTATTTGACAGGGTTGACCACAAGATTTTGGGAGCATAACTTGCGTCCCTGGGAATTCATGGTATTTCTTACCAATGGCTAGTTAGTAGGTAATCTCACAGATAGAATTCAAGAAGTAAAAATCTAAAATTCTCTTTCCATTGACATTTGTGTAACCTCGGAGTGATTGTTTGACCCTTCAGGAGGAACTCAATCATTTTTCAAATTGGTGTAATAAAAATCATCCTGGTTTAAATATTAATAAATGTAAAATAAAATCCTTTGGCAGATCTAAAAATCCTTTATTTTTTAATTATTCAATTATTACCATAGAACTTGATAGGGTTTCTTGCATTCGTAACCTTAAAAGGACTTCAATAATATCTATACACTCAAAAACGCTTACTCGGCCATTGTTCGGCAAGTCCTCGAATATGCAAGTCCTGTCTGGTCCCCTTTCTATGAGAATCACAAATATCAAATTGAAAAGATCCAGAGAACATTTTTACGATTCATTGCACTCAAAATTGGAATCCCCGATGATAGCTTAAAACGACTTAGTAAAAACCATTAAATTTGAAAACTCTTGAACATAGAAGAAATCAACAGGACTTGTGCATTCTTTTTAAGTTTGTGAATGGTATTGTACGGCGTGTGCAGGAAATATGCAAATAAGAAGTGGACTGTATAATTAGTGTAATCAAATCGATCGCGATATGCACAAAATTTGATTTTAATAAGAACTCACTCACCTATCTTGAAGTGTATAACTAAACTTCTTGAATAAGAGGGCCCTCTGGAACACTTTCTATGGGTTGCTCAATCCACCCAGCACAATAGTTGAGTTAGTAAAGTTTTTTCAATAATTCCGTAAATCCGAAAGCCGAAAATTGTTTTGTCACCACAAATTAAAGTTATGACAGAAGGTAAGGGTAAGAAAAGTTGCATGCCCTTTCACACGCGACGGTACTCTCTGGTGCCTTGTCGGACGGGTTCAATCGCAGTGGTTTTACTATTTTTAGGACCCGTATGTAGTACCGAAAAGATACATGTTTTGCGCTGGTGACGTATGTGAGTTTTACCATTCAAACCTGTGCATATTATCAGAAATAATCGATGCTATGCGCGCGAATAATAATCTTCAAATCCAAAAATATTGTCACCAACGATAAGATGCCAAATTTAGTTAAACCAACGTTAATTAATAATTAATTACACGCTTACATAAATTTAATGGAGATTCTTCGACACAGGGTGTCACAAATTCGAGGGTGACCATTGAGATATCGGAAACTATAAGAGATACGAGGTCGGGTAAATTATGATAAAGTTGCACAATTTTATGACCAATAAAATGCCGTTTTGAAATTTTAAAAATTCCGAATACTTCCGAAGATATTCGGAAAAAACCGAAATTTTGCAAATTCATTTTTATTTTTTCCTGAGTTTATTTGAGGAGCAATTTTGAAATAAATGTCACTTTTCCCCCTTTACAAGATATTGCTACCAAATATCAGACACTAGTACGGAAAAATTACTCTTTCCGCAAGCCAATGCGTGCGAAAAAAGAGCTTTTCCGCACGCTCGTGGTAAAATAATTTTCCTTCTGACCAGGATTTGAACCCGGTTCACCATCAACGTTTCCCCATGTAGTCGAGTGCGTTAACCCACACGACCACCGTTGCCTTGCCTTATGAGATGTTTATTGATATATTAATTTATTTCGTTCCTAGGTACAGATACATGTCAAAATACAAAACAATATTCTGTCACAAATTTAACTGATTTTGTTTGATACTAAATTGATGAAAAAACATTGTGGTGAGTAGAAAATAAAGCATTGTATGCACCAGTGGGATTTTTAGAATATAATGCCCTTCAGGCGAAATATATTCCTCGGGCCAGATTCCCTCGGGCTAGTTTCCCCTTGGGGCATTATAATCTACATAATCCCCTTGGTACACAAATAGCTATAATTAATGTACGTACATTTTATTAACGATGAACGGAATATAGTAATATTATGGCTAGATATGTGTATAGATTAGTTATTTTTAAATATAAACTTATATCTGTGATTTCAATTATAAAATACATATTGTGTAATTTATGTATTGTAAAATGGCTTGTAAAATAAACATTTATTTATTTCATTTATCTATTTATTTATTTGGACTGGAAGGAAGGGGTACCTAATCAATATAGATGGATCAAGACGAAATTTCCCTAATTAGTAATTCATCGGAACAACTGAAATATATGTTAGAAGAGTCTCACCGAAATGAATCTGATGGACACAAACAAGTTGAAATTGAAAATCAAACAGTGGAAAACGTAACAGAATTCATAAAATCGGACATAAAATATAAATTAATAGGAGAAGGGAACCAAGCCGCCGACATTCCTAGAAGAGTGGGCCTCATCAACTGCGTAGCTTTTGGTTAATTTCAGGATCTGGGTACATTCCCATAAACATCAAATGGAAAGTCTACGATTTGTGTTTTGCAGCAGTCCTCACTTATGGTCTCGAAACAATTTCGCATCCCGCTTACATGCAAAGCG